GCGCTTGACGGTGCTGTACAAAAGATCGATCAGCAAATCGGGCGTTTATGGAAAGCCATACAATACCGCCAGGATAATTTTAATGAAGAATGGTCCATCTGGATTACTACCGACCACGGTCGTGAAGCCAATGGGTATCACCATGGTGGTCAGTCATCAAGGGAACGGACGACCTGGATAGTGACGAATGCCAAACAGTTAAACAAGCGATTCACCGATAACCAAGCCGCGATCGTAGATATCATGCCTTCGATCGCTGATTTTCTCGGTGTGAAAATTCCCAGGAATAAATTGATGGAGATCGATGGTATCAAACTCACCGGTAAAATTTCCGCAACAGACCTGTCCGCGACATTAAAGGGCAACACTATTGATCTCAACTGGAAAACAATAAATCCAGGAGGAAAAGCAAAAATATGGCTCGCCCTGGCCAATCATTTTCAAATGGGAGGGAGTGACAAATACACTCTTGTGAAAGAAGTTTCTGTTTCAGCAGGCAAGGCAACCATCAATAATATACCTGGTAGTAATTTCTATAAGATCGTTGTGGAACTGCCGTATAATTTTCTTAACCGGTGGATTGTTATTGGCCAACCCACTAATAAATAAAACATGAAAAAAATCACTTTCATCTTTTTATTTCTTTTCATCGCCGGATCATTATTCAGCCAATCGCCGAAAAAAGGTAAATATGGTGATGGACCGGATGATATACCAGCGGTGGGTATTATTAAAGGGATGAGTGATGAGCAACTCCTGGAAACCGTGCAACGCCAGACATTCAGGTTCTTTTGGCACGGTGCGCATCCTGTTAGTGGTCTGGCGCTTGAACGCAGCAATACCGTACTTGCCGAATATTATTGGGACTATATCAACGAAGCATGGGATGAGCCAAATTTTAGTCGTACAAAATTTGGTCCCGACGCTGGTGCTATCGGTGGTACCGGATTTGGAATTATGAGTACGGTCGTTGCAGTTGATCGCGGTTGGATCGGGCGGGATACTGCCGTTCGCCGACTCATCAAAATCGCCGACTTCCTGTTAAATGGTGATTGCTTTCACGGAATTTATCCGCACTTCATGAATGGGCGTACAGGTAAAACAATACCATTTGATCGTTTAGATGATGGCGCTGATATTGTCGAAACATCTTATCTCATCATGGGCTTTCTCTGTGCACGTGAGTATTTTTCAAAAGATAGTCCAAGGGAAAAATACCTGCGCAAGCGCATCGACCAAATTTGGGGAGCTGCCAATTGGAACTGGCATAGTAACGGGCAAAACAAATTATTCTGGCACTGGAGCCCTAACAATGGCTTTGATATGAATTTTCCTGTATGGGGATGGAATGAATGCCTGATCACTTATATCATGGCTGCTTCATCTCCTAATCATTCAATTTCAAAAGACGTGTATGATGGCACTTGGGCAGGAAGTCTTGGCTTCAAAAATGGTAAAGAATACTATGGCTATCGGCTGCCTCTGGGTAATTATGATAAGGACAAAGGCGGACCGTTGTTTTTTGAACAGTATACTTTCCAGGGAATCGATCCGAATGGTTTAAAGGATTCTCTTGGCAACGATTATTTTGAACAAGGGAGAAATCATACACTGATCAACCGAGCTTATTGCATCGAAAACCCTAACAAGTTTAAAGGATACAGCGAAAAATGCTGGGGTCTTACCGCCGGGGATAGTTATAAAGGCTATCTCGCACACAGCCCCGAAAATGACAGGGGTGTTATTCAACCCACCGCTGCCATCTCTTCCCTTCCGTATACACCCAGGGAAAGCATGGAAGCATTGCGGTATTTCTATTATGAACTCGGTAATAAGATATGGAGTCCGTATGGTTTTGTCGATGGATTCAGCATTCACCACAACTGGTATGCAAAATCTCACCTGGCAATTGACCAGGGCCCTATTGTAACCATGATCGAAAATTATCGAACTGGATTGCTTTGGAAACTATTTATGAAAATACCCGACATTCAAAACGGGCTTAAGAAACTAGGCTTTCAAAGTCCGTACATAAAATAAAATTTCTTTTATGCGTCATACCATTTCCCGCCAGCAATTCCTGCAATACACTGCCAGTGCAGGCGCTGCTGTCCTTTTATCTTCCCTGGAAGGGTTGGCGATGGAAAGCGGACAAAAGAAGTTGCGTGTCGGTCTTATCGGATGCGG